GAGAAAGAGAGACAAGAGAGGAGAAAAAGATGAAAGAAAGAGAGGAGAGAGAGGAAGGGGGAGAGGAAGAGAGAGGAAGGGGGAGAGTGAGAAAGATATGGCAGGGAGAAAGAAAAAGAGATAGGGGAGAAAAAGAGGAAGAGAGGAGAAAAAGAGGAGAAGTGGAGGAAGGGAGAGAAGGAGGAAGGGAGAGTGGGGTTATTTACAGATGTAGAAAATGAAGGGGGAGGTAGGGAATATCCCAGACACAATTTCTTTTTCCCCTGGTGAAATGCTTTTTTAGAGTGATTTTCCAGATATCTGGAGTGCTCGCTAGGGGGAACATTGAACACCGGTTCCCAGACTGACTGGAATAGGTGTAAACAGATTATAGCTTGTTAGAGGCAGCTTCTGAACAGATTGTAACTTTTTGGACCTACCAGATACCTCTTCCTCCCTCTTTTTCTCTCTGACACTTCACACCCACTTTTCCCTCACGTTTTTTACTTTTGAAAGGTGTCATTGTGTAATACCATGCCTTATTAACAAGTTCTCCATCACAAAATGGACATCCCTGGAGGATGGGTCTTGGCTCATCCCGAAAAGCTATACAGCGTTAGGATACATTGTGGTGGAATGGGATGAGAAATCACCAGGAAATCTTCAAGAAAGACAGGGGAGTTTAAAAATGGAAAGAAACAATGGCCAACCACTTTTGTATTATTTCTTGGAAAGGTGCATAGACATTGCCATGCAGTCACTAGACATAAAATTGAGCCTAAAAGATACTCTACATAATAAAATGTACAATCCCAAAGCACCTGAAGGCAGGACAAGAAGCAATGGATGGAAACTTTTCAAAGAGAGAAGCAACCTAGAACTAAGGAGAAATTTCTTGACAGTGAAAACAATCAGTGGAGTGGCTTGCCTCCAGAAATTGTGGGTGCTCCATCACTGGAAGTTTTAAGAAGAGATTGGACAACCATTCGTCTGAAATGGTATAAAGTTTGCTGCTTAAGCAGGGGGGGTTGGACTAGAAGACCTCCAAGGTCTCTTCCATCTCTGTTATTCTGTTAAAAGCACACCAAAGTGAGAAGCCACACAACAAAACCAGAAGCAACAGCAACAACAACAACAAAATACAATCTAGACAATTGTTGATGGGCAAACAAGTAGAGAAGGGAGACAGATTATTATTTTTTTAAAAAAATGTGTATTTATTTACTTGTTTTTCACATTTCTGAACTGTCCATCTCTCTCAGAATCACTAAAAACATAGGTTCCTTTCAGTTTCAGGTTAGTTTTCTTTCATTATAATTTTCAAGTTAATCTCCCCTCTTAAGACTTTCTTAAATGATATTGGCTGTTCTGTGAAAGATACTACATTGGATTCCATGGGATTACTTTCCATGTAGATATGTCTAGAATTGGGCTGAAAATGTATTTCTCTAGGAGCATGGGATAGGGGGAGATCTGGACTGCTGCTCCTTCTTCTCCTCCTCTTCTTCTTCTTTCTTCTCCTCCTCCTCCTTTCCCCTCCTCCTCCTCCTCCTCCTCCTCCTCCTCCTCCTCCTCCTCCTCCTCC